GAGGCGGCTGCCTGATGGCACGGCCTTCGAGCAGCTCTCGAAAGATGTTCGCGACGGGGGGGCTCGGTAAGAACGGCCCCCGAGCCCGCGGGCGCGCCCGCCCGAACCGCGACGGGCGCGGGGGCCAGGGCGCCAGGCCGCCCCCCGACATCGCCAGCATGGTCACTACTACTACTACTACTACTACTACTACTACTACTACTACTACTATAGTTTTCTACTACGACTACTGCTACAACTACTCGCTACTACCACTCGTAACAGGTACCGCTACTACTCGCAACTACTACTACTACTACGAGCCAAACTACGGTAATACTTTTACCACAACACTACAACAAAGCACTACTATTCCTGCCACGACTACTACTACGACTACTTTTCATTCCTACTGTAGGTTCGTGCACCCGGTGGCGCGGGGGGGCTTCGAGGACCTTGGCCTCTTCGTCGGGGGGCCATAGACTTTCGCCCAGCAGAGGGCCAGCGCGAGCGTAGTCGTCGTCGACGCCACCGCGCTCTGGCTCAAGCTCCGGGGCGATGAGCAAGCGCGCGCCCACGAGAGCGAGATCCACGCTTCAGGCGCCAAGATGCGCATCCAGAACTTCCGCCGCAAGGTCTGCGAGATGCAGGCAGAGGAGGACAAGGCAGTCTCCGAGGCTGAGAAGGCCAAGCTTGTGGCGGACCACCCCGACATGAAGGGGCAAGCGGGCCAGGCCTATTCGAGCGCAGGGGGCAAGCGCAGGTTCACCCTCATCAGCATCTCCGCAGTCGAGGGCGGGTTCGACCCGAGCAGGGGGCCCAAGTCCGCCATGAAGCGCAGCGTGCTCCTCGCCCCCTGCGCAAGGCGCTGCCGGGCGAGCGACGTGAACCTCGGGGAGGGCGCCCGGCGGCGCGACGTCACCTACGAGCGGAGCGACGGCGAGACGGAGCGCTTCCGAGCAGGTTAGCCCCTGGGGCCATCTACGCGCGGGGGCAGCCCAGGGCTTGGACCGACGAGCTCGTCGTTGCCTAGGCAATCGACTTCATCGAGCAGCAGCGCGGGCAGAGCATCGCGTTCGCAGACTGCCTTTCGAGCCGGTGGACCGAGGCAGTGGCGTTCCGAGCGTGGCTTCAGCATGCGGCCCGCGCACGCATGGCCCCCGGCGCCGCGAGCTTCCGAGCCGGACACCCACGACTCTGGGCGCCCGAAATGGGTGCGGAAAGAATGGGCAAAATGCCCAACAGCAGTTCGTGTGCATTTTGACCAGGACTCGCTGGCCGCGCAGCCGCGGCCTGTGTCCGTTTTGGACAGAAGGCCGCCTGCCCAACAGCGGCCACTGTTGCCTCTAGACAACATTTGTTGTTGGGCATTGTGCCCATTTTTGTCGGCGCCAATTTCGGGCGCCCAAAACGAGCACAGCCAGCTCAAGGCCATGATCCGAGAGGCCAAGGCCGAGATGCACTGGGCCATTGAGCAGCACTGGATCCAGAAGGCCAAGGCCGAGCCCCAGAAACAGTGCGAGGCCCCGACCGAATGGGGGCCCTACGAGCGCCTCTACAGCGTCTCCGAGGCCTACACCCGTTTCCGCGAGAAGAACAAGGACGCGGTGCCGCTCCAAGGGCTTGACGCAAAACACATGCTCGCGGCCCGGCCGACTGGGCAGGGCGAGCTCAAGGTCGCCCCATCGAGCCCGGCCGCGGCATCGAGCAGAGCCTGGCGAGCGAGCGCCTGGAGGGCGCGCAGAGGTGGCCCGAGGGCGCGCCGCCCGTGCCCGAGCGGGGCTTCCTCGACAGAAATTGCTTTCACCGCGACGACTTGCCCAGGGACTACGAGCAGGACGAGAACCCCTGCTTCCTGGAGCCCCGAGAATTGGACTTCGAGCTCACCGACGAGCAGATGGGCACGCTCAGAACGCCAGAGGAGCGGATAAAGGAGATCCAGTTCCCGCGCGCCCTGGAGAACCGGATGGATCCAGGTGGCGCGAACAAGTACGCGCAAGAGCAGGTGGACGACCGATTTCACGGGCCAGTTCCTGGGCAGGCTGCAGCGCAGGTGGCAGCGCGAGGAGGCCGAGACTGGCGGCGGGGACTCGCTCGAGCACTTGGGCCGAGGCGCGGCCAAGGCGAAGCTCACCGGCAGGGCGCCGAAGACCAAGACGAGCTTCTCCCAGAAGTTCAAGCCGAAGACGGAAGCGGAGAAGCACGCAAAGAAGCAAGCGAAGGCCAGGAAGAAAACAGGCCTCGAGGCTTGCGAGGGCCCCCCCTGGCACGGCAAGGCGGCGCGCGTCACCGAGGGGGGCGGTGGGGGGGTCCACGAGGGCAAGCGCGGCAGAGCGCAGGACGTCTGGCGAGTCCTGGGCACCGCCTGCGCGCCCTCGAGGTGGAGGTCGCGGCGATCTTCCAGATCGGGAGCAGCGAGGCTCGGAGGCTCACAGGCACTCGATAGCTTTCGCTCGCTTCCGACTGAAGCGGCGGGGGCAAGCGGAATATAGCGGAAGCGACGGCGGGGGCGACGGCGAAAGCGGCGGAAGTTGGCGGAAGGTGGCGGCGGAAGCGACACGAAGCGGGAGCAGGCGGAAGCCAATGAGTGCTTGTGCATCCTGAGCGCCACAGGTCACGATCGAGCAGGATTTCAAGTTCCCCAAGACGCACAAGGTCGACTGGCGCCAGACCAGACTGGCTCGCCGCACTGGCTCGCCGCACTGAGAATTGCGAGCAGATCGCCAAGGGCGACGCCCTCACGGCGGCCGTCGACTGGGCTCGAGTGGGCCAGGGCGAGGACGAACCCGCCGCCCAGCAGACCGAGGAGCAGAAGCGCTGGGCCGAGAGAGCCCACCAAGCCGGGCACGTCCCGATCTGCTTGCACTCCGAGGCGCCCGCGCACTAGACCTACCTCAATGTCGGCGGTTGCTACAGTTGCCCCTGCCAGGTCCAGGCGCCTCCAGTTGTTCGCTCAGTTTTGGAGCTGATCCTGGAGGCACCACGGGCAGGGGGCGCTTTTGGCAACGCCCGCCAAGGTCTCGAGGATCGGCGGGGGCGTCGCGGCGGAGCGCCGCGCCGCCCTCGAGCAGCCGCCCGAGAACGCCGCGCAGGCCTAAAGGGCCACATGCGAACTCACGCCTACACCCCGCGATTTCTGAGAGGAAGTTGGGTTCACTTTGCTCGGGGGCTGCCGAACGAAGTGAAACTCGCCCTCTTCTGAAATCGCCCCCCAAGGCCGCGGCGAGGACTTTCCGCAAGCTCGGCGCCATCGGCCCTGGCGAGACCTGCCCTGCGAGGCGCAGCGAGATGTTCCAGGCCGACGCCTGGTCCCGCGGCCTGCGGGCGAGTCGCTGGGTCGAGCGCGCCCCGCGCGAGATCCGAGGCGAGGGCCGCCATGCGCCCGCGAGCATCAGCGCGACGCGCGCCCGAGGCAACGAGTGGATCAACAAGCTCAAGGAGGCCAGCGAGAACGACTTGGCCATGGTAGAGGCCAAGGCCAAGGCCGAGAGCACGGCCAAGTCCAAGCCCTTCAAGGACCCCGCGGCGGTCGAGCCGAAGAACGCCACCTTCGAGGTGGCAAGCGCTGCCGCCCAGGCATGCACCAAGTGCCCCCCGCGCAAGGACGGCCCCAAAGGATGCCGAGCCTGCGTGGGCGAGTGGTTTGAGGCCGTGCGCAAGAGAGGTCTCTTGGCCAGGGGCACCAAGGACCTTTCTAGCGCAGGCAAATTGTAGCCGCGAGCCTCGGGTCAGTCTTGCGCCAAGATCTACAAGGCCAGGTTGCACGACCGCCCAGGGTCATCATCGCCATCGTCATCATCATCACCATCCTCATAGCATCACCTTCGCTGGGGAAACATGTGATTATCCCCGCCCGATCCCCGAACTGCATTATCCCGTTCGGATGATTATCGTCAGCAGTTGGCTAGATAGTTTTTAGCATATTTCAACCGACCCCCCATCCCCATCATAATCCCGTTTGATCGAAGAAGAGAAACCGCCATCAACATAAACTACTGGTCCTCCGCGCGGAGTTCTCGGACCCGCGTCGGGCCCCTGGCGCGCTCCGCGCGCCGGGGGGGGGGGGGGGGGGTCCAGAGCGAATCCGAGGAATCTGCGCGGAACGCCAACAGTTGTTGTTTGCATTGTTTTTTTACCACCGACCCCCCATCCCCATCCTCATCCCTTTCGAGACCCCCACCAAATTACCCCCCCCGGTGGGGATGCACCCTTCGAAACCCGAAGACCCGAAGGGAACGGCCTATATCCCCATCTGGGGGGATGATTTGGCTAGTGGGTCCCAGGCCTCGCCGCCGGGGATGTGGATCCGTTGATAAAATATGCTCAATTTTTGGACCCCCGCAACCCAATCTACTTCAAACGGTTTCCTCTTCAACAGCCGATGTGTTTTTGCTGCGTTTTGTGCTTTTCCCGGCGGGACCGAACCCAATAGATCGCACATTTGCCATCGTACTTCATGTTCCTGCCTACTTTTCCGACCGGCGCGTGCAGGGGACAGGGCAGCAGTGCGTGCCCATTCTGAGCAGGACTCGCTGTCGGTTTCGCCGCGGGCGTCGTCCGGTCGAGACAGGATGCCGCCTGCCCAACCGCGGCCGCTTTCGGTTCTGGTCGACGTTCCCACACCCCCGACGTCGCGATTTCTTTCCCGGCGTCGACCCAACCCCAGGGGCCGCTTTTTCCTCCCGAGCCGCTGTTCCTGCCGGCCCCGAGGCCCGGGAGGGGCCCCCCCCCCAGAGGCCGTCGCCGGCCAGGCGCCTCCCGCCGCGATTCGTTTTCCCAGCGCGAGGGGGGTCTGGGTCTGTTGTTGGGGGTTTCGTGCCCCGCCGTTTTCTTGCCCGCTTCGGCCGGGTGTTGCTAGAAGTGCCCCTGTGCCCAAGGTGCCCCCGGCGTTGTGCTCGCTCCGCTCCGGGGGCCCTGGGGCCCCCTGGGCCTCGCGATGGGGTGCTCCGGAGGCCGTCGGGGGCCGCCCCGAGAATCCTGGGGGCACCTAGGGCCACGGGCGCTTCTGGCAACAACTGGAGGAGGAGCGGAGTCTGCGGCTGCACAAGCTGCCAGGCCTCGCGGGGCGCGCGCGGGGGCGGGGCGCGCCGCGAGGGGAGGGGCGAGCCGCGGCGCGGCGGTCGCTGGCCTCCGGGGGGCCCCGTCGGGCAGGGCGCGCTTCGATTCCTCCGACCTGGTCCGATGCGATTTCGATCGGTCCCGATCCGCATTCGATTTTTTTTTGGGGGGGGGGGTTCGCGTTTGGGCTCGGATTCCGATTCGGGTTTCGCGGTCTCGACAGGGGCCTTCACCGCCTGCCGATTTCTTTGTGGATTCGACTTCTCCCGACTCGGCTGTCGATCTCCGCCGATCCGGTTCGATCCGACCAGTAAACCGATTCGAGTCTGGGCTCGTCCTTCCGCGCCGCCACGGCCGGACGCAGCTCGGACAGCTGGTGCGCGTGGACCCGGGGAGGGGTCCGCGGGGAGCGAGTTTGAGTTGCCGTTGTCGTCTCGGCTCGCCCTGCTCCGCGCGGGGGGGGGGGGTAGAGAAGTTTGGGGGGGGGGCCGGGAAGCGCAAGGATGGATCTTAGGCGCGCGGATCAGCGGCTTTCCAGGGCCTCGCTGCGCGGGCTGCGCAGGTGCCTCGCTGCGCGAGCCCAGGGCCTTTTTTGAGCGTGGGGCCTGGCAGGCGGTGGGCTGTGCTGTGCGGGGTCCTTGCCTGCTCGCGTCCAGGGTTCTTTTGTGCCGGCGGCGCGGTCAGGCCGAGTCAGGTCGCCGCGTGTTTTCTTTGCTGCTTCGCCGATCGGCGCGGCCCCCCAGCTTTCCCCCCCCTCTCCCCCGCCCCTGTGGACCAGACGTTGCCAGGGCCCCTCACCCCCAGTCTGCCTTTGCGACTGGCACGAGCAGATCGACGGCGCACCGGGCCAGACCCAGACCCGCCCCCTCCCGCACCCTTCGGCCAAATGAGCGACGGAAGAAAACGGGGTCGTCTTCACCGACACTGGGGAGCAAGCTGCCCGCGCAAAGTTGCGCGTAAGCGCCCTCGTCTCCGATGCAGCGTGCCGCGCTGGCGACCCGCGCAAGCCGCCGCGTAAGGTCGTTACGTCATCTCGCGCAAGACCCGTCATCTTCTCGTCGCCCAGATGTCGAAGCTCAGAGTACAAAAACGCCCACCAGGCCCTGGAGGGTTTCTCCGATGGGCGTCGGCGACCCGTCCTCCTCCTCCTCTTGCTCCTATTCCTCCTGTTCCTTCTCTTCCTCCTCCCCCTCCTCCTCCCCCTCCTCCTCCTTCTCTTCCTCCTCCTCCTCCTCCAGGAGGAGGGTAATCAGCAGGCTGAGCGCGAGGCTCCTGCTAATGTTGCGGAGCGTGTTGCCTCCACGCTCGATCTCGAGATGGACTTTTTCGAGCAGCTGGAGGAGGCCTACGAGGAGAGCAGGCAGGGTTCGGCCCCCAACTTTGGTTTACAGCCTGACACGACGGACGACAGGGAGCACGAGCAACAGGTTGTTCAGGCGGTTTCCGTGGATTTTCTGGATGAGCTGGAGGCTCTTACTGACAGACTGCAGATTCGGTCCCAGGCCAAGGCCATTTGCAAGGGGCAGCAAAAGTTCTTAACATGGGTACGCAAGACATAGCTCAGCAAGCCTGGACAGTTGCACAGGCATATCAAAAACATGTCATTCGATACGCAGGAGGTGCAGGGCATGGCGAACCCGATTGACATCATGAAGTCCAGACAGCAGTGTTGGCAACATATTTGGACGGATAAGGTTGGTACGATGGATGACATCGTGGCTGGAGTCTCGAAAGGACATGCACTGGCGCAAGAGGAGAACTTGGAACCACTCGCGCTCCATGGTGTGGACACAGCGCTAGCCAGGATGTCTGCCAACAAAGCCAACAGAGTCGACAACTTCAGTGTCATCTACATGGCCAGACTGCCCGCAGCAAGACGGTCAAAATTGGTATACTTGCTTAATGATATCGAGCATGCAGGTACGTGGCCCAGGCAGCTGCACGCCCCGGTTGGAGCCCCTTTTGCTACACCACGCGGAGGAGACCGAATACTAGGGCTCCTACCTACGACTGGCAAAGTTTTGAGTCAGGCCCGCTCAGGACCTGCGGCGGAGTGGTCAGAAGGGCTCAGTGCATTCTCGGGCGCGGCACTTCAGAGATCATCGGCACTGAGGGCGGCCATGGCCAGAGCGCTCCTTGATGAAGTTGGCATTCTCAACGGCGAGCATGTTGTCACACTGCTCCTAGACTTGGAGAAATTGTATGATAGCGTGTCGCCATGCAAATTGATGGACATAGCGGTTAAGGTTGGATATCCATATATCATCGTGTTGTTAGAGGTAGAGATGTGCCTTGCGCCGAGGTTCCTCGCGCTCAGGGGCTGGGCCAGTGACGTGGTTGTCGTCACGAGGTCGCTGGTGGTTGGAAGCCCCAAAGGAGTGCAGTTGGCGAAAATTCTCCGACATCCCATTCCCACTCCAGAGTACCTCTACCAATGCTGGCCACATACATAGACGACACCATCGCCAGAGCTGACGATGAGCAGGAGGATGAGGTCGTCGAGCAGACGATCATGGTGGGCATCGAGTTCCAGAACGCCTTTCAAGAGGCCAGGCTGGTTATCTCGGACAAGACAGACCGTATCGCCTCCTCCAAGCGGCCATATGACAGGGTGGCCAGGTCCCTGAGGCAGATTGGCATTCCTGTACATGACTAGGCAGTTGCGACGGATCTTGGCATTGATGTGAGTGCTGGAAGAGCTAGAGTATGGAAGAGAGCGAATATATGCAATAAGTCAGCAGACAGACGGCATGGGCGAGTCCCCAGGTTACGCAGGCTAGGTCCCAGAGCGCGACGTGCGCGCGAAGATTTGCGGGCTGGGGTCAAGCCGCAAGGCGTGCATGGGCACCGGGCCCTGGGTGCACCAACGAGCAGGTAATTACAGATCAGACGACAAGCGGCCGCAGCTATTGCAGGCGCAGAAAGGGGGCGATGTCTTACGTCGGTGTTGGGGCCGACCATTGGCGCCAAGGACCCGGGTCTGGAACCCCCGAGGCACGTCATTTGGGAATGGCTCACGGTGCGGTTCCAGAGGCTTGAGCTGCACGGCCCAGTCAGCAGCGCATGGGGCGCAGCACTACGGCGCGCTGCGGTTTGGGAATGAGTTCGGCGGCGCAGGGCGCGAGGGCCAGTCTCAGCAGTCATTGCCACGCTCACCAAAGGTGGTTTGACATGTCCGACGCCAACCAGGTGGACTCGCAGCAAGGGCGACGGCAGCGTCGATTAGGCTTTTCCTCAGCATGGGACGGTGGAGTTCGAGCAGGTCGACATCGCCCAGCTGGCGGGCGAGTTCGCATCGGACTTGAGAGCAGGACTTTGGAAGAACGCCTCCAGGTTCGAGGGCGCAGACGACCTGATGCACGGCGCTTATTTCAGCCAGTTCTCCAGAGAGCTCCGCGAGTACGAGCGCAGGGATAACCTGGAGAATCGGGGCCGCGCCCTCAGCGCCACGACGGGGGGCCAGCGGGCGCGCGAGCGTCAACGAACACGAGGATATGCGACGCAGCTGCAGCGCAGGCGCTGCCATCGGGCGCCCGAGACATTCCGCCGCAGAATTTGGCATTGCCCCGCGATTTGCTGGGCACGAGGATTACGACATCAGCGGTGCCCTCAGCCCGCGTGCCCTCGCCAATTATCAGCTCGAGCCTAGTCTCTGGCTCAGATGGCCCCCCCCCCCCCCCCAGAAAAAGCAAGCGGCGCCGCCTTTCGATGAGGAGTTTTGTCCTTCCCAGGGTTCGCTTCTCTCGGGGGGCCCCTGGGCCGCCATTGCCAGGCCTGGTTTGGGAGATTTAGATGTTTTTGGCGACGGCCCAAGGGGGGAATTGTCGAGTGACCCCCGCCGACGGGGAGCAGGTGCTGGAGTGGCCATCCTCGGACCCATAGAGTGCCGGCCACCCCCGTGGTCTTTGGTTTGGGGCGTCTCCTCGCCTCTGGTCGGAAGTAGACGCGCCGTTCCCGGGGCCGAGCTGCTTGCTCTCTGCGTGGCGCGAGAGACGTCGGGACCACTCCAACGCATGACGGACCACCCCCGCCGCGCAGAGCTCGGGGGAGCAGACGTTGTCAGAGGGCGGCCCCCCCACGAAGCAAATCTGGATTTTTTGGATTAGATTTCGAGCTGCAGCACCCCGTCGCGGCGCACAGGTCAGCGTCGCGCGGACGGCTTCACATCTGGAGGACGAGGCCAGCGGAATCCAGACGGCCCTCCAGTTTTCGCCGGTCCTGCGGCAACGCCGCTGCTGATGTACTGGCTTCGCAAGCTGCGGATCGAGGTCGGGCGCTAGCCACCGCCAAAGGTACAGCCCCTCGCACGGCCGTGGTGGATTTAACGGCGCGGCTGGTTCGGGGGCGTGTTCGTAGAGCTCTGCAGGACACTGCCGCGGTAGATCCGCGGGAGGGAGTGGATCGCGCCCGCCGCCCCTCGTCTCCGCATCTTTCGTCGGAGCCGAGCTCTCGCTGCCTCGTCCCATTCGTTCGTCCGAGTTGTCGGAGGCAGGTGGGGATGCGAGGCCTGCGTGGATTTCACCGCCAGCACGTCGCTGGAGCAGGCCTGCGCCCGACCCTGCTCTCCCCTCCCCTCCGCCCTGTCGGCCACGACCCCGAATGTGGGTGGGGTCTACATCCAACGTTTGTCGGGGGAGTTGTGGGTTGGCAAGAGGAGAGTAGACCCCAGCCATCAGGTGTGGAAGTGGAGGGGCGAGAATCTGTTGTCTTGTCTTGTGTGCGGGCTCACTGCCAGAACAGATGGCAGGCACCTGGAAAAACATTGCCTTCCGAGCCGGTCTAAGAAAAGCCACCAGAACCTCGTGCGTATCTTCCAGGGGCGGCACCTTTGCCCCCAGGGTGTTCCAGAGGCGACTCGGAGGGCGATTTAACGAGTGCGTGCTGCGACCTTTGGAGACATTGGTTCCGAAGTCTGCGGCTCGCTTCCTGGGGCGAGGTCCCCATCGGTCACTTCTGGTCACTCGTCCTCCTCCTCCTCCTCCTTTTCCTCCCCTTTTCCTCCTGTTCCTCCTCCTCCTCCTCCTCCTCCTCCTCCTCCTTCTCCTCCTCCCCCTCCCGTTCCTCCTCCCCCTCCTCCTCCATTTTCTCCTCCTCCATCTCTCTCCTCCTCCTCCTCCTCCTCCTCTCCTCTTCTTCTCTTCCTTTCCTCCTCCTCCTCCTCCTCCTCCTCCTCCTCCTCCTCCTCCTCCTCCTCCTTCCTCCTCTCCTCCTCCCTGCTCTCATTCTCCTCCTCCTCATTCTCCTCATTCTCCTCCTCCCCCTCCTCTCCTCCTTCCCCTCCTCCTCTCCTTCTTTTCCTCCTCCTCCTCCTCCTCCTCCCTCCTCCTCCTCCTCCTCCTCCTCCTCCTCCTCCTCCTCCTCCTCCTCCTCCTCCTCCTCGGGTCAATTACGGCACCAGGGGAGACCGTGCACCGGGCCCCCACGCAGCCCCAGACAGAGAGGCCGCCTCCCGCCGCCTCCCGCGCCGCCCCCTCGCGCCAGCGCCGTGGCGAGGCGAGGTCCTCGGGGCGGGCCTGGGGAACACGGACAAGGCCGGACGCCGGCCGGTGGAAACGCCACCGCTGCCTGGAGGGTTTCTCTGAAGGGCTTTGGCGACCCGTCCTCCCCCTACTCCTCATGCTCCTCTTCCTCCTCCTCCTCCGCCCTCCTCCTCCTCCTCCTCCTCCTCTCCCTCCTCCTCCTCCCTCCCTCTCTCTCCTCTTCCTCCTCCTCCTCCTCCCCCCCCTCCTCCTCTTTCTCCTCCTCCACCATCGTATCCTCCCCTCTCCCTCCTCAACCTCCTCCTCCGCCTCCTCCTCCTTCTCCTCCTCCTCCTCCTATTCCTCCTCCTCAGGTCGCCTACGGCCTCGGGGTGAACCGTGCACTGCCGCCCGTGGTGTCTTCGGCCAACCTGCTCTGCCTCGGAAGCGTAATACAATCTGAGTCGTCGGCGTGTTTGCTATCATCGCCTCAGGATTCGGTGGATTTCCGTCGTTTTTAGCCCCAGGGGGGGGGGGTCGAACCCGCCGATTGTCAGAAACGGACCTGGGATGGAAGTTCCCCATCCCGGTACGATTCTTCGACACGACCTGCAAGAGCTGCCGCGCTTTTCCACGAGAGTGTCCTGGCCCCACCGATCCGGGCCCCCCCCAAGGGGGGGCGCGAAGGTAGTTACTCCTCTCGCGTCGTGGCCTGGGCCAGAGAGCAGCCCTTCTCCGGGGCGGCGGCGGCGCGAGGGCGCGGAGATCCTCGCGCGCCGCACGCCGCAGGGCGCGATGGGCAGAGCTGGGAGGCCTCTCGGAAGGCTGGCGTGCGGCCCCGCGCGGCCTGCGCTGGCCCAGCGGGGCCTCGCCCTGCACGGGAGCCCGGGGACCTCGGAGGGCGGGGCCCGGCCAGAGCGGAGCAGCGCCGAGCAGCCGTCGGGGGCGACGTTGGGGGGGGGGGGAGGGCGGGCTCGGGGGCATGCCGGGCATGCCGCCGATCTCTCGGCGATGTATCGCCGATCCCAGGCCGACGTGCCCCCCCCTGGAGAGAGCCCGTCCTCCCCCCCCCCGGCCCCCTCGAGCTGCGGGCGTCCGGCGAGGGCGCGGTCATCTTCAACATCCAGAAGAACGGGCTCCTGGACGGCTGGAACAGGGCCCAGGAGCTCGAGCCCCTGCGCCCGGGGACCATCATCACGGAGGTGTCCCCGCGGTGGTCCCGACGCTGTTCGATGCACTCAATGTTTAGGGAGAGGCTCCAGAAGTATCCGAAAACCGCGGAGAAGCTCCGAATACATCTGGGGACTTCCTTAAACCGCCGAGAGTGTTGAAAGCGTCGACAATGACGACAACGACGAACCCGACAGCCCGACCGATCCACGAATGACAACGAACGACGACGACGACGAACACGACCACGACCGCCGACGCATACGACGAGGCTGGTCTCTCCCTCAAAGTCGTCCCCGGGCCTCTCCTGGAGTGCGTTCCGACCAGGGTTCCGAGGCGGACGTGGCCGTGTCGACGAGGAAGCCCTTTGGAGGCCCAGAAAGCGCAAGGAACATCCGAAGGATCTCGGTCCTCGGGCCGAAGAATGGTCGACGATGACGACGAAGACCACGTGGAGGTGAATGGAGTCACGGGGTACTGGGACATCCTCGAGGCGCTGCGGAGGCCTGGCGTGCTGGACATCAAGGTCACCGTCAAGCCCCCGGCGTATGCGGGGCCCGACTGGTTCCAGGACGACGGTCCCCATGATATCGATAAACAGAGAACGACAAAGACGTACTTTTTCGAAACGCCGCGCGTGTTTCTCGGATCGTCGCAATCGTCGCACGTCTGGGAACTGCCAGAGGCATCGCGCCCCCGAGACCCCCTGGAGACTCCAAACATCGAAATGGCGACGGAGGTGCTCTCCAGTTCTGGCGCCCGGTCGCAATGCAGGAACCGAGACCTTCTCCGCGAGTGGGAGCGCGAGAGCTCCCAACGGGTTGAAGAACTCAGAAGTCAGGAGACCCTTCCTCCCTCTCTCCTTCTCTCCCTCCTGCACGCCCCCTCCTGCACGCGAGTGTTGCTGTTCGCCCTCGCGCGCCAATTGCACAAAGCCTGCCCGTGGTCGAGCTCCGAGGCGCAGTAGCAGCCCGCAAACATGTACATCGATCGGGGAAACGTAAGACTCGAGTGAGGTGGAACTCGGGTTTGCCGACGTTCTTTTGACGAGCGCGCCCTGGATCTGGACGGTCCGGTCTTCGTGGGATGTCTGCAGCGGGGGCTCGCGTAACATTTCAGACTGGGTCTCGTCATTTTCATGATGGCCTCTCCCCGACAAGAGACCGCGCTGGCGTCCCTGAGGGGTCCCGGGGGGGGGGGGGGCACTCGACGACACCCGTAAAAGTGCCATTTCGCAAGAGTGACTTCTGCCAGGGGCGAGCGTGGGGGGGAAACGACAAGGAGAACACCTTCTCAGAAGGCGGCGGAACTTCTCGTAAGCCCTCGCGCCTTCTGAGAAGGTTTTTTTTCCTGTCTTCTTGGAAGGCTTCGAAAACTTCTCAGGAGGCCAGGTGACCTCCGAGCCGTCTGAGAAGGCCCGCCCCTTCTCTCTTCCCCCCCTTCGCTCGCCGCCGACCAGGGGTCGACCTGAGCAGAGTGTTGTGGCAGTCTCGCGGGCCGTTTTCGTTTCGGCTTTTGTTCTGCAGCAGGGGCGGACGGGAGACAGAACGAGGGACGTTCGGGTCGAGCTCGACCATTTTGCTGCGGGCCCAACGGGGGCCCCCGATCGCTGAGGGCGGGGTGCGGCGTCTTGCACGTCCTGGCTCGGCCATCATCGAGAACAGGGAGACCTCCAACCCGAATAGCACGATGAAGACGTGGCCTCACTTAGGTCCACGTCTTCGCATTAGGGAGAATGCATATGGGCGGGTGGGTCTGATTCAGTGCAGAAAAGACTCTTTATTCCAAATGTTCTTTGGCCCTCTCAACTTGGGTCCCCTCCCGAAGGATTAGGGGAACGTGTTTGTTTATAATGCCACCCCCCGCGCGCCCCTGAGTCCAGGCCTCCCCGATGCTGCTCGAAGTGGAGCCCGATGATCTCCACGTCGGCGCCGCCGATACATCGCCGATGCGTCGGCGATGCGTCTGCGATGCGGCCCGATTCTCCGACCCCATGTCCGGTCGGGCCGAGGTACAAGATCGAGGTCGCCTCGGGGAGGGTGCCCTGATGTTCTTCGTGCTCTGTTGGATGTGTGTTGTGCATCCTTGGGAGCGATACCCTTTGCTGTTCTGTGCGTTTCGGTTGGCGAAGGGTCTCGTGTCTTGAAGGATGTTCTTTGGCCTAGGTCCGACTGTGTACTCGGACCCCAGTTGGGAGGCCTCTACCGAAGCCGTGCACCAAGGGTCGCTCTGGCCTGGAGTCACCCGTCTTCTGCCCCCCATGCCTCAGGCAGTGGCGAAGCGTTCAGACTCGCCTGTGTAGACCCACCAGGCGATGTGCTACGAACCCTGTCTTGCTGTCAGCGCGAACTGTTGTGAGAGCACCTCTGCCTGAGACAGTCTCGTGTTCATCAGTTCCGAGAACAAGCGTCTTTCGTTCTCGGGAAATCCTCGCGGTCTGAGAGCCTGTCGCGGCAGGCCCAATCTTGCGAATGCTGGGGCGACCGCTCCCTGCTCCAGTGCAGGGGGCCACCAGGGTTATGTCGGGCGTGTCCCCCTACCCCTACAGAGGGATTTTCCACGAAAAATGAAAAGTACCCAAGAAGGTCAAAAAATGTTCAAAAAATAGTCCCCAGACTATGTTTGGACTATGTTTTGGGTGTTTTTTATTTTTCGTCGAAAATCCCCCTGTAGGGGGACAGGCCCGACTTAACACCAGGGAGCCCCTCCCCCCCACCCCCTAGCGGCGCAGGCTCCGTTCTGGCGACGGGGTCGAGGGCCCCCCGGGAGGCCACGCCGCGAGAGGAGAGCGAGAGAGAGCTTCGGGAGGGAAAAAAATTCAGACACCATTGATCGTCGACTCCCAGGAAAATATGGGAGAGTATGGAAGTGGGGGGGAAGACGAACATCCAGAAAGCATGGAGAAACATGGGGAATATTTGGATTTGTGTGTATATTGTATATATTTACCTGCGTGTCCTTGGGCCCCTTCAGAGAGCACAGCCCAAGGACGGCGACGGTGGTCCGAGCCGCGATCCCCCCCGCGCTCCCCCTCGGCCTCAGCCGGCCCCGACCCCGCCCCGTGGCGCTCGCCAGAGGGGGGCCCGGGGGACGGAGCAGATGGCTCCAGAGTGTTCTCCGGGACCCTCTGTGGGAGCGCGCTCCCGGGCACGCTCTGGAACGGCCGCGGCGCCCGATACGTCAAGAACCGCAGGCTCGCAGAGATCTCTGATGATAATCGTAAGTCGGGCCTGTCCCTCTACAGGGAGAATAGTCAAACATAGTATCAAACACAAAAAATTGTCTGGGGACGATTCTTGGGGCATCTGTTTTTGACTATTTTGGTGTGCTTTGGGGGTATATTTGATTTTTCGCCCAAAATCCGCCTGTAGGGGGGCATGCCCGACCTACTGATAGCCCCGATCCGATTTTTTCCCGTTCCTGGCTTCGTCTGGCCTGGCGTCGCTCTGCTGGGGCCGCGAGCCGCGCGCACCGCTCCCGAGGGGCCAGGCGGCACACGTGCTGCTCTTTGGCTGCCCCATCCTCGTCCTCATCCTCGTATGGCTGATGTTCAGCACGGCGGTGACGGTGAAGACCCCGTCCCTTCAGTGGGGAAGCCGGCAGTTGTCGTGTTCAACAGCTCTGGCCTGAATCATCAGCCCCTGCCCCCTCCTCCCTCCCCTCACCTGAACCTCCGCAAATTGCCTAAAGCGACGACGACATCGACGACGACGACGACGATCGCCAATTTCCGTAGGACATCGCAGAGATTGGCAAGAGGCTCGAGGCCAACAAAAACAAGAGCTCGTTCATGCTCAGGCTGTCCGGGAGGAGGAGGAGGAGGAGGAGGAGGACGAACGCAACAGCTACACAGCTCATGTCGGTCGAACGTAAAAACAAGATGTTGGTCTAACGTAAAACAAGGAGTAGGAGTGGAGTGGAGTGAAGTGGGGTGGGGTGGAGTCGAGTGGAGTGGAGTGGAGCCCGATGCGCAAGCATGTGAGGAGGAGGAGGAAGGAGGAGGAAGGATGCAGGAGAAGGAGGGGAAGTGGCGAGGATCTCTATCTCTCTCTCTCTCTCTTTCTCTCCCTCGCTCTCCCACTTGGGTCTCCCAGAGCCTTGGCCCTGCGGCTTTGCGCCTGCCCGGAGACGCCAGCCGCGCGCCGCGCTGCGCTGTAGGCGCAGCGCCCTGGTTCGCCCTTCCCCCCCCCCCGCGCACGTACACAGCCGCGACTCTCGCTCCCAGACCCCTCTCCTCCCTCGTCCTCCTGCTCGGGAGCGGCCAAGAGGGGGGTGATGACGACGGTGGGGTGGATATCGTGGCGGGGGCCATGATGTCTCCCCAGATTTCATGGCGCCTCGTCTGATTTCAATACGTCCCCGCCCCCCCCCCTGGGCCGCGCACATGCCGCCGGCCATTATTTGCGCCCCCCCTTTTGGACGCCCTCCTTTTGAACGCCCCCGAGTCCTCCTGTGGCTCCAGACGGCCCCAAGCCGTCTGTACCGCCTTGGTCGTCAGCCTCGGCGAACCGAAATGCAGAAACAGAAAAAAACATAAAAATGAGCTTTCTCGGAAGGGAAAATCCGCCGACCCTGTCGGCGTGTGTGAGGGGCTTGTCTGTTCGAGTCGTTATCTCCGTCAGTCGCCGTCTCCGTCGTCTCTTTTCCTTGCACCCTCCTAAGCTCGTCAGCGAGAGGAAAAAATGCACTGTCGTAATCGATTCGGGGGACGCCCCCTCTCTTTGATCCCCTCCCCGTAGGGGGGGGGCGGGGGGTCCCAGGGGGGTCCCGGGGGGCGGTCTTTGGGGGGGTCGGATAGGCATTCCCCCTGGGGGTCCCGGGGCCGCAGAAAGTACCAAGCCAAAAGGCCCCCGAGACGGTCCCAGAGGGCACCCACTCGCCAAACGATCGGTCCAAAACGCCTTCACGCCCTCCAGACTGCCCAAGAGGCCTCCAAGACGCCTCAAGAAGCCTCAAGGCTTCTTGGGCCCCAAGAGGCACAATTAATTCTAGAAGCTTCGCGTAGCCCCACCAGCCCATCCCCAAACGATGCCCAGGCGAGTTGCCCTGATCAGGGATGTGGAGGAGCATGCAGTCAAGTAAAGGGCTTGAGATGGCCTCAAGAGATCCCGAAGAGGGCCCACTCGGGACCTTGCATTAGTTATGGGCTTCTTAGGGGCATCTCGGGAGCCTCTTGGAGCTGTCTTGGGGGCTTTAGAAGCCCTCGTGGAGCCATCGTTGAAGAGCTCGAGCAAAGAAGGGGGGTCCTTAATTAGCCTCCTCCCTGGGAAGCCCCAACAATCGCCCCTTGGGCCCCTCTTGCAGCGCTGTTGGGGCGCTCTTGGGCGCTTTCGGGGCAGTTGTGGGGGCTCTCTTGGGCCTGTCTTGGGGCCTTCTTGGGCTTTCTGCTTTCTTGGAGCCATCTTGAGGCCTCGGAAGGCCATCGAAAGCAAAAACGCGAGAAGGCACAACTCATGAATTGTCCTTAGGTTTTTGTCTGATATTTGCCTCTCGGGGGCCTCCGTGGAAGGCTTCGTGGCAACTTGGAGCCGTCTTGGAACGGTCTTGGGGCCTCTTGGAGCATCTTGGAAACCATATTGAGCCAGCTTGGGCTATCTTGAGCCATCTTGGAGGTCATCTTGGGCGCTCTGAGGCGCTCTTGGAGTCATCTTTGGCCCAAAAGGACCCTTGACACCTCGCGAGGCCCCCCCTCTGGGTCCAGGGTGGGAGTGAACCCCTCTCCGAAGGGGAAAAGGGGGACTGGAAGAGGGGGGCTGGAAGAGAAAGCTCTTCAGACCACCTACGCCAAGAGGGCTGGTGGAATTGATGTTTGTTTGTGTCGTTCAACGGATCGG